GTATGAAATCTGATGATCACACTAATTTGAAAAGCACTGTAACGGTAAGTAGATATTTGGCACAGATTCAAAAATTGCCCGTGATTTAGGTCTAACCATAATAAAATAATAAATAGACTATTGTTTCCTACCGGTTTTTTTTAATTGAACCTTTCTTTTGAATATACAAAATATAAAGATTATGTCTTCACTCTATATGCCATTTACGCCATTTTTTGCCTCCCAAACGGAGGAACCCACAATGGACTCTGCAATCAAAGAGCTGGATACTGAGGGGCTTATTCAGTTTTTAAAGAAAAAAAATTTAGGCTTAACGGATTCACAATATGAAATTTTAAAAAACCAACATATTCGTGGATCTATCTTCTCCAATTTTACAGAAGATGAATTTCGTAGCATGGGTTTAACATTTGGGTCTGCGAAGATTTTGGCAGATTTTACCCAAAAAATAAAAACACAAAAATTAAAAGCGTATTCATCGTATAAAACAGGAAAAGACTTTAAAGATGTTTTAGAAGAATTTGGAATCGGTGGGACTAGCATAGCAGATATACCACAGTTTATGCCTGGTAAGGTGTTTTCTAAGTAAACCAAACTATTGTACATTGAGAGGTACTATTGCAAGGGTGGAAATACTTACTGCTTTTTTAACAGAACTATATAAAATCAATGAAAACGATGAAAATTTAGATCTATGTATGACACTTATAAAGACCAAGTTGCCCATTCTGGGAACCCTAGTTGCCGACGATAATGAAAGGGAACGTTGTGAATATGTAGAATCTATCCTGGATTCAGCGATACATATTGTCAAAAGGATCACAGGAAAACAGGTTACTCGCCACCCGCAGATGGAGGTTACCGGAGAAGATAATACTGGTATAGTAGATTATGCCATAAAATATCAATCAGAGCTCATTTGCATAACTGAAGGTAACTTTTGGAAAATAACCGAAGGGTTTGTGCATAATCTGCTTCAACTTCAAAGTGCATCTCAAGTCAACAAGCGCATTTTGGGTAATGCTTTCGATGAGAAGGATTATTTCATTTATGGAATAGTAACAATGGCAGAAGTATGGTATTTTTTAAAATATACCAATGAGGGAATTTTTTGCACAAGTAAGAATCCGCTTAAAATTGAATTTAATGAATCTGCATTAGATAATAAAAATGAGGAACGTAATTTACGTAAAAATCTAAAAAGGATTATTGAGATAATCGCAGGTTTATTAACAAATAAATTGGGGGGATACTGAGCATTTTTTACGAAATTGTAATGACTATAGCTTTTTAGTATCAATAAAGAAAAGCTTTATTATATAATTGCATGTTTATAACAGAAAAATTTCCGAGATTTTAATTCCCAATTGATTATAATTTTCAATCAATAATGTTTATATTTTATTCGAAATCTTTAAAATTCTCCAAGAATCGAAAAATCTACTACAAAAGAAATCGAGATAATTAATGTTCATAAAAAATTCGAATACACTTATTTATATGATCTTAATACCGTTTTATACTTAATATGACTAATATTTCACATTGACAACGTCAAATTAAACAAATAATCTTTTAAAGACACTTATGAAAGAATATTCAACTAGCGCGAATAAGGCTATTACTAAAGTTCTGGATAAAGAAATTGACGAACTATTCGAATCAATACAAGCCATAAAACTGGATCGATATCTTACTATACGTGAAAGAACAATTAAATCTAACGATTTTTTTTCAAGTAAGCTGTATAAAAAAAAATATAGGCGAAAGTTTAATAAGTTTATATAAAAAATACTTTAAGCAAAAGTTCAGTAAGTAATATAAAAAAAATAATTTGAGCGAAGGTTTAGTAAGTTACAGGCTCAGTAAAAAAATTTGAGTAAAGTTCAATAAGTAACTTGAGCGAAGGTCTAGTAAATAATTTGAGCAAAGGTTTAGTAGGTTGTATTAAAAAAATACCTTAAGTGAAGGTTCAATTACATTCTATTACTTATTACGTGTAAGTATACATTATTGGGCAAAAATTTGTGAATAACGGCAATTTGCCCAATAATGGTGTTATCCGGCAATTTATGATCATGATTGGTAGGGAGTCACTCGCTGAGTTTGTTTTTTTTTGAATATTGGAAAAACATAATTACATAGTAACACATGAAAAAAATAACAATAAGAAATTTTTTCATGATCATAAGAGTTTGCCGGATAAATTTAATTATATGTTAATGGTTGGTCAAGACTGAGATTAAGAATAAATTTGCTACTAAACTAAATTGTCATACTTATTGTAAAAAATCTTAAATAATATATATTAAGTAATATTAGGTAAGAATACGTATTAATTTTGCCCATTCCTAGAATATTTGTATCTCACCATACCTGATCTGCTATAATTCTAATAGCACTTTATGGATTAGTGTTAGTGTTAAATAATTCTGATAGCTTTTTATAGATAGTGTTAAATAATCATCTAACAGCCTTTTAGGGTTAGAATTTAGTGTTTTGATTAGGTGGTTTATTAAATTTTCACGAGGAATTTTTTCTGTTAGATCAGAGGTGCTGGCGAAATTAATTTCACCATTTCACCAATTCAACATCAATTTCACAATAGTGGTGAAATTATTTCTCCACTCTAATTTTATTTCACCAGCATCTTTAGTTAGAATATAAAGACAGTTTATAGACAAATTATTGTCACATTAAACTTAATATAATGTCTTACTGTTTATAATATGAGAATAGAAGTAAATCTATGCAGATATACACAGATTGGATCAATGAATAACGGGTACATATCGGGAGACAAATCTCCCGATATGTACCCATTATTCTACCATAGATCCGTCAAATAACTGTAGCATATAGGTAGCATATTGGTAGCATATAAGTTAGATATCGGGAGGTAGATCGGTAATGGTAACATAACAGTAACATACTGGGGCATCCCGGTATCTTACTCTTAGTCCAAATAGTGGTAAGAGTAAGATACCGGGATGTCCAGTACGTTACTGTTATGTTACTATTATCGATCTACCTCCCCGATATCTAACCTATATGCTACCGATACGCTACAGTTATTTGGCGGATCTATGGTAGAATAATGGGGAGATTTGTCTCCCGATAGATACCCGTTATTCATTGATTCAACCTGTGATAATAAAGATTAGCTTAAAGGTTGCAGTTTTTATAATTTTATGAATTATCTGTTATCATACGTACAAATATGTAAACTTACTGTATAAAAATGTATACTTAAAATTAACACATTCTATTATTTATATATTAACGATTGAGTTTTTAACATATTATATAATTTGATAATACGTAATATAATTTTATAGCACTAACTTTATTTTTTAACGAAAAAAAAAAAAATCCAGAAATAAGGTTCCAGCCTTATTATATATAGTATTAAACTAAACGCTACTTTGATTAAATATTTAAAATTATGAAATTCCATATTCAATACCATCCCTAAATCCGGAATAAACTAGTTTAAATGAATCAATATGTTGATATAAATATATCATAAATTAACTATTATTAAATCTGAAAGATTTTTTGTACACAATAATAATAAATATTAAAAGTGAATAAATAATTAGGATAGATATCTTTGAAACTAATCTTATTTACAATCAAAGCTACTTAATAAATATATTATTATTTATTTTTATATATAATTTAGATATTTAATTTATTTAAATTAATTTATAAATAATACGTATTTATAGGCATTTTTTGTATTTTTATCGCTGTTTTCGAAATGGTTGAAATAGCAATATTTACTCGAAAATTACTATTATGTGGATTGGAAATCGATTATCGATCAATTTTCCAAACTATTCATTCGAGTATGTATTCGCAAAAATAATTTTTTTTTTGTAAATATTACTATTTTCAACCATATCGAAAACAGCGATAAAAAATTTAAATATATATATATATATTATCATAGTAAAATATTGGGTTTGTTACACAAGATCCTGTGATCTGATTGGTTGCATAGTTTCGAGGGGTTTTGGTTTCGGGAGTTTCTGGTTTTTTTTAACAAATCCGAAACTTGTTTCGTTTCGTTACCCAACACTACAATAGATGAACAGATACAAGATATAAAACTAGCCAACAAATTGACAGATTTTATACGATATTTTAAATGCGATAATTCGCGATCACACAATTAGCTATTCTAAACACAGAAATGATTGCAATCGATTTAGACTAGAGTGTCCATCTTATTGCCTGCACAGAATCTACACAAATATGTACAAGTTCTGCTGATTCTGCTCAAATAAAGCAGAATTATTATTATATAGTTATATAACGATAATAATCTTCTCAGTTGTAATTGGTTAAGCAGATTATACAAAAACAGCTGAACAAAGCAGCAATTTACCGGTTTAAAAAAGCAGATTTCTGGACATTCTAATTTAGACCAATGATCTCATAATATATACGAATATAGAAGAATATCAGATACGTATATAGAGGTACGCAATATTACATAAACCTGTGAAGATGCAGAATCTGAAGTTCCTGATATGTCACCCTTGCTTCGCCACATTCATTATTCAATAAGATGCTAGGATTTGCTGATATATCGCGCGTTCGTCACGTATAACCATGCGCGTGAAATTTTTTAATATCACCCCGTTTCTGAGAAATGAATACGGGATGACAATCTGTTCATCATAGCCAAAAAATAAATGTCTCCGAAGCTAGCAAGTGCCCATTTGATATCTACTCTACCACCAATTATTATGATAGGAAATTAGATTTGCAAATTAATTTGGTTTAATTATTTTTTTGAAGCAAATTTTGATAGGTCATTAAAAGCCTTTTCTTCTTTTAAATAAATTACATTAAATAATTTCAAGTTCGAAAGTTGGAAGTCTAAATATGTCAATGCACATCGCAATGTATAAATAGAGATAGCTATCTTATTAATTTCTTAAACAAATTTCAAAAAAATCTCAAAATAAAATACTAAACGCTCATTTATTATGAAACTAACATTAGTTCTCGCAATTTTTTTGGCACTTATTGTTATTGCTCAAACATATCCTGTTAACTTTAATAAAAAACGGGAACTAGTAGGAGTAACTCCCGATAGAACTGTACCAACAGGTTCAAATCCACTCCATAATAAAAGAGATGGAAATACCCCAGAAATAGGAGCGTCCGATAGAACTGTACCAACAGGTCCAAATCCACTTCATCATAAAAGAGATGGAAATACCCCAGAAATAGGAGCGTCCGATAGAACCGTACCAACAGGTTCAAATCCCCTCCATAATAAAAGAGATGGCATGGAACCAGCAGAGTAGCAGAGATCGAAAGAACTGTACCAACAGGTTCAAATCCCCTCCATAATAAAAGAACCAGCAGAGATAGTAAATGTCGATAGAGTTTGTACCATCAGGTCCAAATCCCCTCCATAATAAATTTCCTCCACAATAAAAGATGGGATGTTGCCCAACAGAAAAACATTTCAAGTCCTGATTTAGACATTCTACTATTTTACTATTTTTTTTTCTTTCACGAACAATTGGTTGGGTCATTTGATATAGGGTTTTACAAGAACGTGCACATATTTTTACTATCAAACTTAATTTTTATCCTCATATTATCATATTATCATCATTTTGTTTTTCTTTTTTTATCATATCTGTTTTAAAAAAAATGTTACTTGACCAACAAGAGAATCATTAAAATATACTACATTATTAAAACATTCAAGAAATCCAATGAATCACATTACATTGTTTCAAAAAAAATTCATTTTAATACCAAAACTACTTTAGAAAACTTGCAGAGGAAGCAAAAATACACCTACATAATAATTTTTAAAGGTCTAACAATAATTTATTTTTTAAAAGAAAATTATCGAATTAAGTATAACATCAATCGACGTTCAATATCATGTGGGTTAAAATATAAAAGAATATATTAGGAATATTAAAAATAAAAATACTTCATTAATCAGTCAACATTTGCTCTCCCTGCTCGTTTAAATTCATATCTTCTAATTACATTATGGAGAAAAATCCAGTCTATCTTTTCTTGAATGATCTTTATTTTTCTCCTTTACAAAGTTTCAATAGATGAAAAACTCCTAATTCATTAAACTTTTCGTACTAAACGTTTTGAGCTAAACGTTTCTTGTTAAAAACGCTATAAATAGTGTTGGAAAGGAGTTAACGTTTAATTCCTTTGTTAAGCAACAATCGGAGAGGTGATTAAACGTAAATTCAGCTAATTTATTCATTAATGCCTCCGGTGATACGAGCTGGTCCCAGCTCAACGACCTGGTCAGGCTAAGAAATCGAATATTGATATTCATCAGAGTATGCTAATTTAGACGATAAATTGGCAAATAACGAATGAAAATGATTGGATTTTTTCGCTAGAATTTCTCAAAGACAAAATAATAAATCTAAATAATTATCACTAGAATTTGGCAAGGAACTACCTACCTGATGACTTTTTACATGTTTGATATAGCTATGAAGACTAAGGGCGTTCTCAAGCACCTACCTCAATGAATTCAATAAAAAATCTGATTGGCTAGTTTGATCAAACAGACCAATCAGATTCGTTATTGAGTCCATTGAGATGGATGCTTGAGAACGCCCTAATTCTGATCAGAAAAATTGTCTAGCAAAAAGATCTGCCGCCGGTCTGTATGGCTAATTATTCTCCGAAAGGATTAAGAGAATTAGTGGCCTGGCAGATAACTAAAAAAAAAATCGACTAAACTGAATATTCGGTCGATTTTTTTTTTTTTATACTAATATTTAAGCTAATAACAAAGTTACGATAATATGTCTGCTCCTAGAACCGTTACTATATAAAATACTCAAACTTTTAAAGATAGTTCTCGTAATTTTAAGATTAGGCGCAGGATCTTGTGCATGCCTTTGAGCTAAAAGGTGTGTAAATAAATAGTTAATCACGTAGTTATGATTGTACATTATAAAATATTTGGTACGGCTAGAAGTAAAACCACGAAGTTAGGGCTTGAGACAAAGAATAATAGCTCAAGATTTTAACAAAGGATCGAAACCAAAAATTTATGAAGACATATATAATTAGTTCACTCTATATCAAACTCCTATATAATGAGCTAAAAGATTCAAAACAATAGTTATTTACTATACTTATACAAATGAATATAGCCGATGGAGAAACAAGTTTAGTTCAATCTAAAAAAATTTTGGGCCGATCGACCGGGCCAACCTTTCTTGCTAATACGTACGTACAATTTTTTTATGATCAAAAATTAGTCTTTATGCCTCTATAAATAGGTTAACCGCGCGACGTTGTCGTACAAAACTAGGAACGGCCTAGTAGAGTAGAGTGGACTAGAATATGTGATGAGTATAAATGGGGATCCGACCAACACACCGACAATCACTTCGTAGACACCACATTTCACTGACAATTACTTACCGACAAGTACATTTCACCACAGTTTATTTCATCGAAGCTCATTTACAGACAAAATAATTCTGGTCAATGCCATTAAGGCCAGGTTAGAATTAGAATTAAAGTTAGTGTAATTTATAAAAAACATGTTGGTAAAATGAGCTTCAGTGAAATAGACTGTCGGTGGATAATTGTCAGTGAAATGTAGTGTCTATGAAGTGATTGCCGGTGAAATAATACGGGCCCAAATAAATGTATATGTAGTTCATGTATCTTTTCGGTTCGTATGTGCACATATGTATATCAATATATTTCTGTGAATGAAAAGTTTAAATTTTACAGTATATCAGTTCAATGTAACTCTCGGAAAAACTTTTTCAAAAGTATCTAGTTCGTTGTAAAGAAAATTGGCGTAATTCTATAGTAACCGTCAAAACCCAACTAGTTGGGACTTTGGGACTTTTTGGGATATTGACTATATTTGGATTAGTTAAAACTTTTTGTATATAGAGCTCAAATTATTAAAGTACCTGACCCAATCCCACATAAGATATAAATCCCAACCTTACGTACGTACACATCCCAAAGTATCATAATGATTATCTGAAGCACAATAGACATTAATAGTTGTACCGTTAATATTACAAATGATACGTAAAAAATTAAAATATTTTAGAAATAGAGCACATATCTGCCCAGTTCCAAAATCAATTAATCCAATCAATACCAATAAATTCAAGCAATTATTGCTAAAGTTATTTTAAAATGAATTTATTGGAGATAATTTTCTGAATAATACATTTATAAAAAAAAAAAAAATTTTACAAAAACGAAACTATATAAATCATATTCTTGATTTTTGTTTTATTTTACGTCATTAATTTTTAGTGTATGTTTGTAATGTAATACAAGTTTGAGCTTTGGAACTAGGTTGAGATTTAGAACAAATTTGGGACTTAAATTGATCCAAATTTATAACTTGGAATTTGGGATAAAATTCAGATCAAATAATATATTTTATTTATCAAGTACGAGACATATAATTTACTATATTCCGTAACTCGATTTTCAAGGCAAAGACCCCATATGTCATAACGCTCTAATTTTCGCGTATCATACATATATTCTATATTACGTATGTGCCATTTTTATGAAGCCTTTTTTTTCAATAAAAAAAAACGATGTTACTTCATAAAGGTGATATACAGTCAAACCTCATTATAGTCACACTTGATATAGTCACAACCTTGATATAGTCACCTATTTTTTAACTCGAGCTAATATAAAACATATAAAATTTGACCTTTGTATAGTCACAACTTTTTATAATCACCAGATTCTTGTCTCCCAAGCTGGTGATTATATCGAGGTTTGACTGTATTCGAATTTAAATTTTCTTATTACGTCAACTTTCTTTATAACGAACTGAATATGTAGGAAAAAAGGGTTTTCGAGAGCTAATACTTACCACAGGGAGCTTAATTAAACCTAAACCGTGTCAAAAAGCCGTTCATTACAGAGTATATACATATGTTGAAAATCACCCTCCGACATTTCTGATCGAGTTAAGTTAATTCGGACAAAACAAATCCGTATATGAGTTCACATTTATATTTGAAGCTCCTTTTGCCTTTATTGATTCGAAACTTTATTCTATAAATTATTGAACCATAAAGACAAAAGGATTTACATATAAACATGAACTAATACACGGCTTTGTTTTGTCCGAATTAGCCCGATCGGAAATTCGGAAGGTGATTTTCAAGGCAAAGACCCATACATACGTATGCGTAAGTGGAAGCAGAATTTAGGCGGATTCAGAATTTTTAAATAAAGCCACCATTTTAGGGTAAATTTTATAATATGTACACCCGTGCCCTAACCCTAATTTGACTAGGAAATTCTGAATCCACTTAAATTCAGTTCCTACTTACAACATGTGCACATTCCTTTATTCCATACAAACCATACACTCTGTTGCGCTCCATTCCTGATTTATGGAGTGTTTTCAATAGAAACAGCCCATTTCACACAAATTGCATAATTTTCATTGAGAATAAACCGTTGTAATTTGTTAGGTTTAGGATTAAGGTTAGGATGATAGGGGTTCTATTGGTAAAATTTCACAAGGAGCATTTTTAATTAGGCCGCAGAAGGTGGTTTCTTAATTAAATTTTCGAGTTATTTCTGTTTTCTTTTGTAAAAAATGGGTTCGTTTCAATTGTTTACGTTACACCTGATCTTGAAATTTGATTGGCCAAAAATCACGGAAGGGAACACAAAATTTCAGAGTTCATTTTGTGAATATTTAGTTCTGATGCCAGAAAAGGATAATGTTAAATAACTTAAGAAATAATTTGTGTAGTTTATTATATATGTATATTTTGTAAATTTTATTGATTATTAATCAACCGAGTTATACGTTATTTATATGATAACTAAAATTTTCTTTGTGTATAGTGCATACAGTATATACAGCATGTATAGTAATGTTCCAAAAAGGTCATTCGGGTCGAGTTTAGGGTTGATCAGGTTATATTTTGATATCTATAGATTTGCAGTTTATGTACTATACAAATAACTTTCCTATTATCGTTATAATAACATTATATTATTCTTCATGAGTGTCGTGTACATTTTTATTAATAACTTTTTCATGCGAAAATAAGGTATATTCTCGAATTACCAATTTATTTTAACGAGTTTCATGACTATCAGGATAGAATTATGTAGATCAGAAACCAATCCGTACGGTATTGGGTATAAAATGCCCTTATTTTAAAATTTGTACTACGTATGTACCATACAGAAATTGTTAGTGCAAAATGTGTATACTTGTAGGAATCATTAAGTAATTAGTCGACTAATCGACTGAATTTTTTTGTAATCAGTCGATCGA